GGATATTTTTATTATTCTTAAATAATGTTTTATTATTATTGAATTATAGTTTTATCATTCTTAAATAATGATTTTGTCATGTTTTATCGTTCAATTAGAATAATTTATTATCATTTTTAAATGATAATTTTATTATATTTTATCATTTAATAAAATAATTCATTATCATTTTTGAATAATATTTTAATATTCTTGAACTATAGTTTTATAATTTTTAAATAATATTTTATCGATTAGGTTAGGTCAAATTAAATGAAAATTTAAATTAGATCAAATTTTTGTTTGACCTGACCTGATTCTCTTAGTTAAGATAACTTAATTGATTTGACCTGAACTGACTTATTCAGAGCTTTAAATATATCTCATTAAATATAATAAATATTATATAATATAGAGTATAATAGTTATTTATATAATTAAAAAATTTAAATAATATTATAATAAATATAAATAAAATATTAAAAAGTATTTTTAATTATTATAATTAAAAATTAAAAAAACCTATATAATTAAACTTAAATTAATATTAGATAGATTAGCATAAGAGTGAGAATTTATATAAAATGATTATTTTTCTAAATCTGAAATATTTATAAATAATTTATTTGAATTTCAACTGATTCATTAAATTTTATTTAATAAAAACAGTAATTATTATTTGATTCTAAATTTTATAATTAATTTTTTAATTAAAGATCTTTTTAACTATATAAAATGCATATAGCTAATTTACTTAAATAGTTTATATATGAATTAATACTATTTATTTTAAAGAATTTTCTAATCTAAGATCTTAAAAATTATTATAACATAATGATATTAGAAAAGAAAATAATTTTGAATTATTTAGAAGATTTATAAATAAATAACTTAAATATCAGAATATATTTTTACAAAATTATATTATAAGCCTAAAGTTATTAAAAATTGCTAAAAAAAATATAAAAATTTTATAAGAAGGTTAAATATAAATTTATTCTTATAAAGATTAAAGATTAGTTAAATAAATAGGCTTTATATTAGATTACAAATCTTCTAAAAAATAATACTATGATTTTTTTTAATTATTAAATTAATACATCCTAATATATAATTTTAAAAATCATGATCTATAAATTAATTAACATTTAATTTTATATTTTGTGATGATTTTATCAATATAAACTATTTTAATAATTATTTTTTTTTGTAATTTTTTTAATATTATAAATAAATATTTCTTAATAATACATAAAATATAAAAATTTTTATATAAAATAGAAAAAGAAGATCATAAACTATTTGTAATTAAAACTTAATTGTCGATCTACATATAATGGGTAAAAATTAACATAGTATCATATGGAGTAACTAATATGTAGATTATCACTAATTCTATTACTTTACGTCAAATCAAAAATATTAATTATTCATTACCAAAAGTAGGCATTAAATTATGTCATAAATCATATGTTCACTAAGCCACTTAAACAATAAAAAGTTTTTTTTCATTTCATTTTAAAAAATTTTATATAGGAAAATGGCAGATTTCATAATATTTTTAATTTATATAAGAATCAAAAAATTCAAATTTCATCAAATTTAGCTTATTTTTCATCGTTTTCTAGTCTTATTAAGCTTATTATAATTAGTATTTTCAGTATTTGTCTTTTCTTCAGATATATTTTCTTCTAACGCCTTCTTAAACATTTTTTTTTTTAGAGAAAACATTATATCTTCCTATCTATCCCTTGATTGTTTTACTTCAGGAATTTCTTTAACACTAAGTTCCTCTTCGTTTGCTAATTCTTTTAAACTTTCATGCATTTTTTCAGCAGTATAATGGCCCTTTAGATTAAGATTACTTGCATGAAAATAAGTTTGTAAGTATTGTATTACTTTTTTACTTATGCATTTTTCTCCTCCTTTGTTACCCATTTTCTGATTTCTTTTAATATTCAGCCAGACCTTAGAGAAAATTCTGAATTATTCCTATTAATATCAAACTAGTTAATATATTTCTTTTTTTTAATAAAATGAAAAAAAAAATAAATAAAAATAATTTATCTTATTTGATCTTACATTAGATTTTTTAGTAATAATAGAATAATATTATTATAATATTTATAAATCTATTTTCTATATATTATTACACTTACTTGCTTTATTTTATAATGAATTTTGCATTTTACTATAATATACTAGTATATATATATAATATATTCAAATAAATAATTATTCAAATTTATTCAAATATATTATTTTAATATATCTTTCTTTACTAATTATGACTTTAATTATTGTATTTTTGATCTTATTAGTGTTGTATATTTAGGATTGAGATGATTTATTTTATTACAAAATGTACTTATGCCAGCAGGAGAAAATTTGGTCTAATTTCCAATATTTAGAAGCAATCTTATCCTGACATATCTTACAGTTTTTCTATTTATTGGCTAATCTCGTATGAATCATTTGAAAATACCAGAAATGGTTTTAATTTTTTTATTATTTGTATTACTATATTTAAAAGATAAGATAAAATTAATATTATATACAATAAAAATGTATTAACAGATTTTATAATAATAAGCATTTTAATACTATTATTTTTTCAAAATTGTATTATTTGCATTATGTTCATTATTATTTTTATCTTGATTAGGTTCAATTTGAATAACTAATATTTTACTTAACCCTTCTATAGCCTTTCTATATTATTACCTGATATAAATTCACAACTAATACGAATATATTATTTTATTGCATGAGCAATCTTTTTCCAAAAAATTCTAATATATGATTAATAAAAAATATACTGTAGTTTTTTTAAAAAAAAATAACAGTTAATATACCATTGTAAAGTGTAAATCTACTGTGATTTTTGCTTCAGTAGATTCTAAAAAATCTATCTATGTATTTCAATTCTATACCAATCATATTAATGACTTATAATGACCATTAGTTCTGAGTTATAATAATAACCACCATTATCAAAAATTATTTTTATCCAGCATAGATGAGAATTTATAATGTTGAAAACAGCTTCAAAATAAGATGCAGTAAACCATACATCTTGTTTAATGTCGCAAGACCAATGGTCATATACTTAAACATACATTTTCTCATTATTTTTTTTGAAAGAGAAGAGTTATATAAAGAGTTCATTTCCTTTTCCCAAAAAAATTAACTTTTTTGATCTCTCTTGCTATTGCAAGAAGAATATGTATTTTATAATCAACTACTATAATAGCACTATGTTTATCTAATTCATTTAATACCGTATTAAACTATATACTTAAATATCTTTTTCATGTTTGATGAGCCAAATAACAAGTAAGTTTTTTCTGATATTCTAAAAGTAAAGTATTATAAAAATATCCTAATATTTGAGACAGATTGGTAAAAACTTCAAAAAATTAATCACATGCTGTACAATGTGAAAAATATTATTCTTTGCATTTACCAAATGCATATAATAAGCAATAATTAATACAATCTACATAACTTGTTATATTATTATCATATACTAATAATTCATTTTCATAATCTTTTTTCAGATGATGATGAAGTACTTCTAATTAATTTATCAATTTATTCTAGTAGCAGATATTATTTGAAAAATGGAAAAAATATAAGTTAATTTTATTTTTTGTTTACCTTTACTTTTTTATCTATTTTATTATTAGATACTAATTTAATCAAATCTTTAAATAGTTAATAAGAATAATTGTTATAAATTGGGCAAAGTCCTCCTAAATCATTGTGATATTTGAATCATCTATTTTGTAAATAAGCCATAAAGGAAGTCCATTTCATTCCATCAGGATATGTAGCTGAAAATTTCTCCTATAATGCACAAAAAATAATTCAAATTTCCTTTCTTTAATTTCATCTATTTTGTTACAAATAATAACAGATTTATCAACTGTTTTGCATCTGAATTATTCTTATGGTAATATTTATAGGTAGCATAAATTATTTTTGGCAAAATCTAGCAAATTCTTATCAAGTTATATATTTATTATTACATATTAAACAAATATTATTTTGATATTTATGTCATATCTATAAATTTTCCATCAGTTCTTCATAAGTAAAGTTTTCTGCAATTATTAATAAAATTCTAATTTTTTTATTCAAACCATTAGGATTTGTGTTAAGGCTTTCACAAAATGAATACTAAAAAACATTAGCAGTATCTTTATAATAACCAAATTCTTTATTTCTTATTGTTAAATTTAATTTTATATTTAAAAATCCATTTGAATATAAGTTGAAAATAACCTCTTCATCACTTTTAGAATCTTTAGCATGACTCCAAAATTCTATCTCTAGAATATATTTTATAATTAGACAATGAATAAAAAAAAAATTTTAATAATATTTACTGTAGAAATATCTTTTTTAAATAGAGTAATATTTTTACATTCAACTGTTCTAAAAATTGCTCTTCATACTCAAAGTTTACACACACTAATTTCATGATTATCATTATAAACTTTATGAATAAAACTTTTTATTTCAATAATTATGCTTTTTTGATTAAATCAAAGATTAAAAATATGATACCAAAGTTCTTCATCTCCGATTTATATTTTTTTAGATATAATTTGAATATATGTCGCATAATTCTTTCATTATTCTAATCATCAAGAATATAAATTTTTAAAAGAAAATTTCATATAATTCTTTGATTTTAAACTATACAATTGGGTTGTTTATTCCAAAAAGGTCATCACCATTATAATTTTGCAATAATTGAGTTTGTTTTCAAACTAAAAAAGCTGATATATCTTGAAATTGCTTTATTATTTTACCATTTTAAAAAATACTAATTAAAAATAATCCTTTTATAATCTTTTGCCAAATTATATTTTGTTGTTTATATTTATATATAAAATAAGATGCAAACACTTTTCTATTATTTTTATCTGAAATAAACGCTATAAAAATTTTAATTCTATTATATAAACAAATTGTAAAAAGATGAAAACCTACATCATCAAGTATTTATTAAATTATATAAGATCATGAAAACCTAATAATGTAGCTTCTGGGTATTTTGTTTTACTTTGACCAAATACTCTTTTATATGCAGTATTTATAGTGTTAGAAGAACTAGATAAAACTTCACTATCAATTTCCTCTCCTTTATAAATAAATCCCAGTATGTTTTAATTTTGTATGCTATGAACTATTTTAATAATAAAATATTTTTGATTGAGTTTAAAAGAAACTTAAAACCAAGTTTTAACAGAATAGGATATATATTAGAATTTTCAGATTCAGATTCAAAAAAGTACAACAATCTCGTAAAAAAGAACCATAATGAAGTTCTAAAATAAGGCTATTGCAATAATATTTCTGAAATTGTAGTATTTGTTTGACATTTTTAAAAATACAATTAGTTTGGGAATGGTAGATTTAGAATATACTCATTTTAATTATAAATTATAGCCCTGCAGTGATCATATAAAATTTCTATCCAATATGTGTAGATCAGTAATTAATTGATATAACTTTTAAAAAGAATTTATTACAGTGTATAGAGGTGTGCTCCGAATCCGATCAATCTGGATATCCGGTCATCTATCCAAAATTTGACCAGATTCAGATTGATTCGTTTATATCACCAGATTGACCAGATGGATCATCAGATATCTGGTGAACAAATTGGATGGTCAATTCGACTTAGGTAAGCATAAATTTTTTTTTTTATTTTTATTTTTTTTTTTTACAATAACGATAATATTAAAACTACATATTACATCACACACACACACACACACACACACACTCTCTCTCTCTCTCTCTCTCTCCCCTCTCTTCCTCTCTCCTCCTGGACCTTTTACTCCAAATTTCAACTTGAACGGTTTGAATTCAAACGGTAAGTGCAAAATTTTTCCTTTTTTTGTCTTGGAAACGTTACTAACTTTCATTTTACTTCTTTTCTTTAGAGAACGCCTTCTTGGACCTGGATTTCGGCTGGGCTATGAAGGTAAGTTGGTGTTTTTGTTTTTTCTGTCATTGGAAACGTCATTAACATTCCTTTACTTCTTTTCTTTAGGGAACGCCTTCTTGGACTGGATTTCTACTTAGGCTATGAAGGTAAAGTAGTGTGGAGATTTTTTTTGATTTTCTTTGTTTTTGAAACGCCATTAATGTTTCTTTTGCTTCTTTCTTTAGAGAACGCCTTCTTAGACCTGGATTTCAGTTTGGGCTATGAAGGTAAGGTGATGTGGGGGATTCTTTTTTGTCTTTGGAACACCATTAACGTTCCTTTTGCTGTTTTTCTTTAGAGACGCCTTCTTGGACCTGGATTTCGGCTTGGACTATGAAGGTAAGTGGTATAGGGAATTATTTTTGTTTTTTCTCTGTCTTTGGAACGCCATTAACGTTTTTTTTGCTGCTTTTCTTGTGGGATTTTTTGTTTTCTTTGTCTTGAAATGCTATTAACGTTCCTTTTGCTTTTTTTCTTTAGAGAACGCCTTCCTGGACTTGAATTTCAGCTTGGGTTATGAAGATAAGGTAGTATGGGATTGTTTTTATTTCTTTATCTTTGGAATGCCATTAACGTTCCTTTTGCTTCTTTTCTTGTAGTTTTATTTTGTTTTTCTTTGTCTTTGGAACGCTATTAATGTTCCTTTTACTTCTTTTCTTTAGAGGACGCCTTTCTGGACTTGGATTTCAGCTTGGACTATGAAGGTAAGTGGTGTGGGGAATTGTTTTTGTTTCTTCTTTGTCTTTGGAACGCCATTAACGTTTCTTTTGCTTCTTTTCTTGTGGTTTTTTTTGTTTTTCTTTGTCTTTGGAACGCTATTAATGTTCCTTTTGCTTCTTTCTTTAGGGGATGCCTTTCTGGACCTGGATTTCAGCTTGGGTTACGAAGGTAAGTGGTATGGGAATTGTTTTTGTTCTTCTTTGTCTTTGGAACGCCATTAACATTCCTTTTGCTTCTTTTCTTTAGGGGACGCCTTCCTGGACTTGGATTTTAGCTTGGGTTATAAAGGCAAGTGGTGTGGGGAATTGTTTTTGTTTCTTCTTTGTCTTTGGAATGTCATTAATATTTCTTTTGCTTCTTTTCTTTAGGGACGCCTTCCTGGATCTGGATTTCTGCTTAGACTATGAAGGTAAGCTGATGTGGTGATTGTTTTCGTTTCTTTTATCTTTGGAATACCATTAACGTTTCTTTTGCTTTTCTTTAGGGAATGCCTTCCTGGATTTAGATTTCTACTTGGATTATAAAAGGAATAGATAAATTTCACTTTTTTTGATTCAAGAATGATACTATAAATATTTCTTTGATTTT